AACCCTAAAGCAAGCCTTCATACTAACCCTAACATTATAGTAAGTGCATGTTGTTAATTAATATTACTCAGTATTTAAATGTATAATTACACTGTAACAAGGACACCTTAAAATAAAGTGTAACCAATTATTATTATTAATATAATTTTTTTTACTTTAAAAAAATGTAGTCTGCATATGTTTTTGTAATCTTCTATTGACTAAGGATTACTTTCTTTTTTTGTACTTTTGAGATACAATACAATAGATGAAAGCAATTAAATTGGGACTATGCTATAACTTCCAAATCAGCTTGAAATTCATGTCATTTAGTCATATGGACATAGTTAGGCTACATAACCTTGGCTATAATAAGGATATTAGTGATTAAAAGCTGGGAATTAGGACAAAATAACACCATATGGCATATTATATAATGGCACATAAGATATGATGCATTTTATGTCATATTCTCTACCTTTGTGAAGTGTCTGGAAAAAGTATGAGTTCTGGCACATCAAAACTTGTGGCTCACTTTTAGTATTCATCAAAAACAAAGGCATTTTGCTTTAATATGCCACTGCTCTGACTTTTTTTTCCTGATATTTTACAAAGGCAGAGAATTTATCATACAAAGGATAAATAAGTGAGCCTTAAATCCTCAGCAATGATCAATTTTAATATTGTTGCTTACACTGTTCCCAACACATTATGAAGATAAAAGGACAATCTAAGGTCTAATCCAATGGGGCCTCAGACATAATGTAAGATGAGTTTATTTCAGAGACCTGACCATAGCCAAACATTAAAGACACTCCCTCACTTCAGAAAAGCATTCATTATTAAAAATGCATGACTATTTCATGGATGGTTAAATATAATTAGCTATAATGGCTTACTACAACATTTAACACTTGCATCTATGTTGCTCCGGAAATAGCCATTAAAATCTTATAGTATGAAAGCCTCATGCCTTCTGAAATGATTGTGCTTTCTCCACATCATCTAAATTGCAGACAGGAGGACAAACTACAAAGTTCAAGTACTGTCATCAGTAATGGCCTAGATACAGGTTTCTCAAATGGGGGTTGATAAGTTAATGAAAAGCCAATAATAAATTATATTGAATGTAAAATAAAGAAATAGTAAAAAGGGGAGCATGTTAAGCATGATATAGTATGATTATCAAAACACAATGAAGCAAATTTAACAAGCATTTGGGAATGCAATGTGAACTAGGTTTACTTTATTTACACATTTGAAATATTTTATATTTAAGTGGTTTGGCTGACAAAAAAGTTTGGGAACCCCTGGCCTAGATGACCTCTCATATGCCTTTGGTGTCCAAGAGGTGGCCATGGATTTTGTAAACACTTAGCACTCATAGTCCTGTCACCAGTACAGCAAGTAGCCAGTCGCATATGTTGTAGTAATGAACAAAATGAACAGTGGTGGTAGCCAACTAATAGAAGTAGGTTGGGGTAGCTCTTAGCTTGCTATGGATTCCAGCCTTCTCAGCTTCACTTGTTTTTAACAGTACTGGCAGTGCCTCTACATTCAGACCACTGTGTAGTTTTATGGTGTACAGTTGTAAGATCTGACAATTTAACCCCTCCATTTTATGTCAGATAATGCTGTTGTCACATTTGAAAACAATGGTGTAAAACATGATATACTGATGACGCCTGCTGTCATAATGGAGACGTGAGGGGGTATACACACACACAGAAGACTAATGACAGCCATTATTTGTTTTTGTAAAAATAGCTTAAAGGGGTCATATGATGCAATTTCATTTTTTCCTTTCTCTTTTGAGTGTTACAAGCTCTTGGTGCATAAAGAAGATCTGTAAATTTGCAAAGACTAAAGTCTCAAATCCAAAGAGATATTCTTTATAAAAGTTAAGAGTCAGCCACACCTACCTAAAACGGCTCGTTCGAACACGCCCCCACATATCTACCTCACTATGTGGGAAGATTTGCATAACGCCGCCCAAATGTTCACACAAAGAAAGAAGGCGTAACTTTTATTCTCGCTGTAGTATTGTTGCCGCCGCCGCTATGTCTTGAAGGTGCTGTGTGTTTCGTTGTGAAAGCGAAAGTGTGAAGTACTTTGTTTGGTCTTCCAAAAGAGGACGATATCCGCTTCGTCATGCCTAGAGCTGATCCGTGCTGGTCGCTGAGGGGTGGTTTTTCACAAAAACTGATCGAAGCAAAATACGTTTATACAATGGCTATAATGGAAAAATACTTTTTTGTTTACATTCTTGGTGCTTTAAAGTGAGTCACAATGTACTGCAATGTTCTGCATTAACTGGTTCGGAGAAAGAAAAAAATTACAAGATCATACATAGCATCAAAATCTAATCCACCATAAACTGGGCATTACAGGACATGAAGCTGAAGAAGACTATATTGATTTATTTAATTTTTTTAAATACTTCATACTTCAGTTGATTATACACAATCACCCGAAAACTGTGCATAAACCAAATGACTGAAAAGAGCAGGAGTGGATAAAGACCAAAGTCGAAACCTGAATGTTCTTTATTTTGATTTCTGTTTGTAGTCTTTGTGGTCTTTTGTAGTCAGCATTTAAATTTTTTTATTTTTGTACTTATTTTTCCAGCTCTTCTCTTTTAGTTCTTGTTTAACTCTTGTTTTAGTCTATTTAATATCATTTTTTTGTAGTCTTTGTTGTGTGTTGTCTTATGTAGCACCATGGTCCTAGAGGAACACTGTTTCATTTCGCTGT